TCTATTTCTGGACTTGCATTAAATATGCTTTGGTGATCATACTACTTTGGATTTTTTGCAGAAGCCTGGTAGCTTCAATACAGAGATCACAGTGAATTATCACTGAAAATCATCATCTTTCTATTCAGGAATTAGGTGAAACGAATGATAACTAATTTTGATACACAATATTTATATATTAAATATCAATTTTATAATTAAATATATAACATTTACATTAATTAAATATAGATAACATGGAGGTTTATGTGCATAAATTTATATTTCATTCTCATGACAGTAGCTATAAATTACACACTATGTCCATCTTTTATCTCTGCTAATCACTACTGGCTCATGAAAGTGACCACAAAAAAACCTTACTTTAAGATTTCAGTCCTCTAAGTGCAGAAATAGAAATTCAAAGCTGAGAAAACAGTTACTATTTAGTGAAAACAAACCAGAAAAAAAATGAGGAAAAAAATGTCTTTACTTGTTTTGCCCATAAAATTGATGAAATCCTGTATTTCTGTCAAAGTTTGCACAGACTGCAGTTTGGTCATTCGACTTTGATGTAACAAAGTATCAATACTGGAATAGCTCTGAAAGGAAAGGTAGAAATTGAGATTTCATACATAAGATTTACAACATGATTCTATTTAGTGCTCTAGAACTATACGTATGACACAGTGATGACCACACTCTGCAGTCAAACCTTTTGTAGGTAATTAAGTAACCTGCAATCTAACAGTAACTCTGCTCTAGGCATGTAAGGAATCACAGCTCCAACTCCTACCCAAGGGCTTAGAATAGTCCTATGGGCTAATGAAAACTTGGTAACAGCCACAGCTTTCACCCTCTCAATTTAATACTCTCCTTTCAAGGTTGCTCTGGGGGCAGTAGACTTTTAAAAGGATGATTGAAATTGCCATTCGTCTGTGCTAATAGTTATTGTGAAAAATCTAATTGGTGAAATCCAGCAGACAAATTAAAACAGAGAAGAGGCACTCCAGTGGCTGACTCAATTCTTGCCACTGCAATCATATAAGTCAATGGAGGTTTTGTCATATGTAGATCACATTGTATTTGGGAAAGTGTTTATCTTGAGAGTAAAATCTAGTAGCAATAACATCAACAACAGTTTAACTGTTCCATGAGTTTGCACAGGAAAATAAAAAACAAAGCACATCAGATAGAGCAGTGATTATTACCTGCATGAAGATCTGCAAGCCATTGCTTATGTAGTATTTGGCTCTGTCAAAATCATCTTGCAGGATGTAAAGGAGACTAAGCTCCTGGCTGTAACGCATTTCTATCAGAGCTTTCTTCTCTTCCGACTTCATTGCCTCGTCAATAAAAGTCAGCAAAGTCTGGTCATTCTCCCCATTGAGCAGCAGCTTCAACTTACTGCGGATTATATATGGCAGATATGTCTCCTACAAGGGGAGATATAGATGAGCATTTTTGGTTGGTTGTTTTCAGTGGCAGATCAGACATATAAAACTGCATTTTCCAGTGAATTCTTAAGAGTTTTCCTTCCAGTTTGCCAACAAATCACAGTCGACTTCTCTGATAAGTTCAGTAAGTTTTAGTTTAGCAAATCCCACTTTTAAAAAAAATCAGTGGTTTGGCAACTTTCAAAATGCATGAAGAATAAAGAGATAAAAGCAACACCAAAACTGCAAGGAGAATAAGAAGTTAAACCTGGTACTGGTCTGCTATGAATTTGAGGTACAGTTTAAGCATCTATAAAAACAGCAGGAACAACGGATTTAATTATTTTATATATGAGATTCTTTCCTAATTTCTATGAGAAAAATCAGTACAACTAATGACATCTAACTACAGTTAAGTACTATTACCTACTACTGCTATTAACTATAAATTATACAATTGATTCCTACACAGCTCACTAGGGTAGGACATCTCTGTACAGAGCAAAAGAAGGTAGTATCAAAACAGTGATTCCCAGAGACCTGGTAGAAGGGATCATTCCAGATTTTGTTGAGGTCCGGAGGTTCCCCGCTGTCGATGTTCAGCGTCGCGCAGTGCTCCAGGGACTTCCACTGCGTCAGGTGATCGTAGCACTCGAGCGAGGCGAGTTCCCAGAAGTCCTTCTCTGCCTCCGTCGGCTCCCCATCGGGCCAGTCTTCATTAGAGAGGGCCTAGGGAACGAATTTAGGGAGGGAGGAGATTCTCAGCTGGTTTAAATTCTAAGTCAGCGAGAACTTATTCGAGAATAACCTGTTATCTCGAAAATATTTACCCACTTAGCAGAGTGTGACAGCAACATTACTGAAAAATTAAGCTAGTTGGTATTTATATACAAATTTATTTCAGACAGCTATCTTCAGTACATCTGCCTTTTTAAAGAGCCAGGGCTTTAAAAGAAGGTTACAGAGATCCTTCTTCCATTTACACCCGCTATTACTCAAGTGATTGCCATGATCATGTACTGTTTGCTCTCTAGGGACAGTAGCCCAAAGTCTTTTACTTGCCTCCCTAGGTCATCACATATGCAAAGCTTTGTAACAGTGGGGGGAAAAAAAAA